TAGGCCGTCATATGTCAGTGTGAGAGATTTAGAGAAACTATGGGTGCAGAGTAAAACATTACAGCTCAATCAACTCTTAGATTATGTTCATGAGACATACTGGTTTCCAGAAGGAATAGTAGTTGGATTTGTTTTTTTGTTTGTTTGTTTGTTTGTTTGTTTTTACTCTTTGTTCTTTGGAGACCCACCAGCCAGCTCCCAAATAAATACAAGGAGACTTACTCTTACCTATGACTGCTTGGCCTAAGCTTGACTTATTTCTAGATTGCTTTTCTTAACTTAAATTATCTCATCTACTTCAGGGTTTTCCCTCTATCTCTTTCTTTTCTTCTTATTCTGTGGTTGGCTGTGTTGCTGTGTGGCTGACCCCTGGCATCCTCCTTTCCTCTCCCCTCATACCTCTCTCTCTCTCTCTTTGTTCTTCTTTATATTCTCTCTGCCTGTCAATCCCCCCATCCCTTTCCTGACTAGCAATTGGCCATTCAGCTCTTTATTAGACCAATAATATAATTGTGCCTGTATTAGGCAGGCACAGGAACACAACTTCACAGGGTTAAACAAATACAACATGAAAGAATACAATACATCTTTGCATCATTAAACAAATATTCCTCAGCATATCCTAATGTAACGTATCCTAAAATAATATTCTACAACAAGAGGCAGGGCATTTAGCCACTTGGGAGAGAATAGGACAAGAGCTGGGGTGCTTATGGGGAAAAAAAACCTTAAACATATTCCTGTTTTCACTTTCAGTTTATTGAGCCTTATTTAGTAATCCATGGATGCAGAGGCCCTATTCCACAGAAGAGCAGACTTTGTCAGATGGGTACCAAACATTTTCCCCTCAGATGACTAAGAATTGGCCACTTCTCCCTGAGAGAAAGCCACAGATAGTGATTCAGGTCAAGCTTGTCCCAATTTGCCTGACGCTGCAAAGGCCGATACTAAAGAGAATGTTTAAAAGGACAAAGCTACCAACTCATGATAATATTGTTCCTTGAGACTGGGCCATGGACAGGCTCAAGGGACAGTGGTCTCCCTCCTTCCAGTGGGTCTCCTTTATGAGAAATTAGGGGGAAAATACTGTTGGTAAGACAGCTTACCCACAGTTGAACTAAATCCCCTGGGGGAGCGCTGCATCAGCTGCATCATCCTGAGACTGTCTTTCTAATCCTTAAGATCAAACCATCTCTGCTCTGTGTCTATGCTCTCTGGAGCTACTGCTCCTTTCGCTAAGCACTTGTTCAGAGTGTCCTGAGTAACATTCCCTGGCTTCCCCCTGAGTAGTTAAGCATGGCAAAAGTTTACATCAACCTAAGACTTTACCTGCTATTAAAAATTGAGTTTATAGCACTGTGTCATTTCCAGGAGCAGCGTCATTTCTACACCGTGGAATTTCTACAGCTCCAGACACTTTTCTAGGTACCAATTACAACATTGCCTTACCACTAAATTACAGATCACACAGTCCTACCAACAAATTAGTATAGCTGTCTTACTGGCACAGAGACAGTTGCTCACTAAAAGGAAAAGGCCTTGTCACTGACTGATAGTCACCAGGACCTAGAAGAGTTAGTTACACAGATTTTACAGCCCAGCTCTTATAAATGACCCTGAAGCAGAAAAGATGCTTATGAAACAATTGACTTCAGAAAATGCTAACGCGACTTGTAAAGAGGCTCTCAGGAGTTTCTATAAAGGCTTGGATGTACAAAAGATGATTAGATTGTGTAACATTATATGTCCCAGCCACTGTCAAGGTTAGTGGCTATCTCAACTACCCTTAAGGAAATTGTATGCTCTAAAGGAACAAGTGGTACCTGTTAGACACGTGAAGAAACAGGACATTTTGCCAATGAGAGCCACCACAGGAATTTCAAATTAAAAGAGAAGAAGAGCCTTGTTTCTCCTGAATGGTCCACACAGCCCTATTCCTGAGATGTCAGAGAAGAACCCACTGGGATATTGAATGTTACTCAAAAGCAAATATTCATGGACAACTGTTGAAGGAGCTGTGGGCCTGCTTTTCGTCCCACCCGGCTCCCGCATGGCTAGCTTTACACCAGAAATAACAACACACAAACTGTATTCTTTTAAACACTGCTTGGCCCATTAACTCTAGCCCTTACAGGCTAATTCTGATATCCCGATCAACCCATCTCTAATAATCTGTGTAGCATCAGTCTTACCGGGAAAGATTCTAGCCTACATCTATCCTGGGTCTGAGCTTCATGTGTCTGCCTCAGAGAGCAGAACTATCGCGTCTGCCCCGGGAGAGGGGAGCATGGCGTCTCTGAGCTCACTTCCTCTTCCTTCCAGCATTCTGTTCTGTTTACTCCACCCACCTATGTTCTAACCTATCAGGGCAAGCAGTTTCTTTATTTAATTAACCAATGACCTTCCTCCATCAGACAACCTCTGGGAAAACTGGAGAAACATCCTCTGTAGCCAGTCCTGGGCCAATCAAACAATAGGGGGTACCGCACTGTGGAGCCCCAAGAACCATCAGGGCAGATAGATGACTCTCAACCACCAAATTGTACCATTCATCATCTCTACCGGGAAGTATCAGTTAGTGGGAGATTGAACCTCAGTTCTACCAATCAATTTATTACAAGCCCTAACATGAGACCCAAGACATTCCTGAGTATATGGGCCTTTGTTGCCAGGCATATGTCAACCAGGGATGTGGGTGGGGGTAAATTGACTGCTCCCACTGCTTTGCTGGAGAAACAGTTACAGGTTGGGTACATAGCATGGCCCAGTCTCTCTCTCTCTCTCTCTCTCTCTCTCTCTCTCTCTCTCTCTCTCTCTCTCTCTCTCAACCTGTGCATCAGGATATAGCTCTACTGCTCCAATGCCTCAAGAACTCTTTGCAGTTTGCAGGGTTTTAGAAGGTTTTGTCATTTCTCCCATCAGTATTTACAGTGACCGCCCCTGTGTAGGGAGAATAATGCAAGCCTTGGAGACTGGTTTGTTAGAACCAGGATCAACGGGTGATACCATCTTTTCCAAAGGATTCAGGAAATCCTTCATCACCACCAGTGCTCTTGCTTTGTTGGTCACATTAATTTACAATTCAGATTTCACTGACAATAACACACGAGACAATACCTTGGCTTGAGGTCTCTATTCTGCTTCCCTGCCACTGTGCAGTCTACCTTAATATAGCTCCCAATAGCCATGCTTGCTCTGGACCATCACAGTGCCTCCTTTTTAAAGCAAGGGATTTTTCCTTCTCCTGAGAAGAAGCTAGGCAAATAGTTAAGCAATGCACCCACTGCTGGTCTGTCCCCAAAGCCTCAAGACAGACAGGCAGCACTCCTGCTTTAACTCTTTTGCATTTTGCAACTTTTCTGCTCAACATAGACTAGTTCATGGCACAAGCATCCCTTACAACCTACAGGGAGAGGCTAGGGGAAAAATAGTCCATAGATGTTTCAAACAACAATTAGAAAAACTAAAAGAGGAAGCATTCCCTACCCCTACCTATTCTTTAAACGAGGCCTTACACTAAAGTTCTTAAACCATACAGAGAGTGATCTCACTGCTTCAAAACAACACTGGTTGTCAAGGGAGAAGAGCAAAACCTATGAAGAAAAATGATTTGGCTCATTCCCCATGCTGTTGTTGGAATGAGGATAGGCTGTTGTTTATCCTGAAGGCTTGCAATACCTACTTAGAGTACTTTCAAAGCCCATAAATATTAATGCATTAATTGAAGAGGTTGAGAGTGGAGTCAAGAAGGGAACCTAAAGGGTGGCCATTGAAGCTCTTAGAGCAGTCTCAGAGGAGGAAGCTTCCTGCAAGAAGTACAAAAAAGACATTGTCACCAACAAATGGTGGAGGAGGGAGAATAATGCCTGGAATGGGGAAATATTCGACAGCTATATTTCTGATATGTTGAGTAATTACATCCACCTGACTTTTCTACTGCTGTGACAAAACACCATGACACAAAGGGTTGATGGGGGATTCCTTCCATTTTCTACAGAAGGGCCAGGGGCACCATGGTGTTGAACACAGCAGCAGGCAGGCAGGGCATTGGTGCTGTTACTGAGAGCTTACATACTTATTTGCAAGCAGGAGGCAGGGGTGTGGGCAGAGAAGGCTAATTGGGAATGGCACAGGCTTTTGAAAATTCAAATCACATTTCCAGGTGACACAAGTCCAACAAGGCCCTACGCCCTAATGCCTCCTAATGAATTCTTCCAACTGGAGACAAAGTATTCAAATATATGAGCTTGTGGGGCCCATTCTTATTCAAACAGCTACTAGCAGAAAGAAGCATAGGACAAAGTTGAGAAACAGTCATTGAAGTATAGTTGGGTAGTAGGTTGTAGTTCAGCAATAGAAAGTTTGCCGTGCACACATGAGGCTCTGGGTTCAGTCCTAGGTCAAGCCTCATACATGTACTGTCAACAGATATATGCAACTTGAAAGTGAGAAAGAGCTTGGAAATACAGAACGCAATCCTTAGTCTCAAGACTTGTTTCCGCTGTTGCTGACTGGCAAGTACAATTCCCTGGTGTGGGAATCAGAAGACCATTAAACACCAAGCTACTCTAACAGTTGCATAACTAATGCAGGCTTTGAAAGATGAAATCATAGGAAATTCAATTAATAAAAATTAAAAAAACTGGGAAATCAAGTGAAAATAAATGGCAGATGTAGCGGTTTCTCCTAATCTAACGTCTGAACAGATTTTAATATTTTATACTACACTGTAGAAAACTCAATGGCACATGAAGGAAAGGCATATGAAGGAAAGTTTGGGAGCTGGATGAGAAACACTGGAAGACGAGATAATTTCCACAGACCTAGTCATCACATCGTCAGCACTTTTCTCTGCACACCTCCACCTAGGGGAAGGATTAGCGGCCTTTCCCACCTTCTGTCAGAAGTCCAAATCCCAACTCCCACCCCACCCCACCCCAATCTCCAGCCAGGCACAGCGGACGGTCTTTAAACTACATCTCCCATAAAGCTGTGCGAGAACGGTGGCCCTCTGCCGGAAGTCCCAAAGGTTACCTCCAGCACTGGAAACGTTGAGAGCTGAGTTTGCCCGCGGAGTCTTGTGTCGCCGTAGCGGTTTCTCTGGTCATCCTTGGGTTAGTAGCACCAGTGGCGTCAGCCGACCCCGAGACCTTCCAGGGCGTGCTGTCCCTGGGCGTCCCTCGGGGGCTTGTGGCGCAGCCTGACGCGGGCTTAGAGGGCGCAGGCGCGGCACGCGGACTTGTCGCTGTCTGCGGGACATAGCTGCTAAAATTTCCAGCCAAGTTTTTGATGGGGTAAAGCAAACTACTTCGAATGTGTCTCTCCTTGAAAGGAGGAATCGTCCAATGGAAGAAACAGTAACTGTTCAAGGCATTTGGCCGTATGGAGAGACCGTGCTTGCGTGGGTTGCTCTTAATGGGTTAAATTGGTCTTGACAGCCCAGCGAGTAGAATTTATTAAATGATGGTTTCTGTCATAACTGACAGATCCATACTGAGGACTTACTGTAGCCTGCTAGAGCCGTGCTGGGCTGTTCTAGGACCCCAGGTTACTTATTAGTAAAAATGGATGTTGCTTTGGTAAAACTCTAGTTCCTTTCAAACTCGAGGCTCTTCTGATCGCCTTCTCCAAATAGCCCTGGATAGGAGGGGCAAGGCTTTATCCTGCCCGCCCATCCTCGCCTTCCACAGGACCATCAATAAGAAATGATTAGCCGCATTCCCTGGAAGGTGACTTGGCTAAATTATTAATTCCTAAATGACTTGTGTATCATTTAGAGCTAAAACAAAGGGGGCTTATTTTTTCACTTCTTACTCCAGAGAATATTTTGTGCATACATATTGCATCGTTGGTAGTGTATGACACAACATGTTTGGACGACCAATGTTGCAGTCACCTGGGGTTGTCTCTGAGGACAGTGAGGGAGTGACCCTGAACTCTGAAACCATGACCTCTGAACAGGGAACAGTGAAGCATTGAAAGTAAACTTCCCTGGAGAAGCTGTGTGACAGGTTTGCTAATGTGACTGAAGAGAAGTTTGGGAGTCAGGAAGACATTTAGCCTCGCCTCACAATAAAGTCCTGGAATATTGCAGCCGTGGCTACAATGTTTTAAAGGATTTTAAAACTTCACTATAAAAAAGTGGGGGAAATAAGTAAAGTAAATCAAATGAAAGCAAATTGGTAGATGTCGCACTTACTCCTGGCTGCATCTGTGAACAGATTTGAAACAAGTGTCCTGGTTCCCTTGGCCAGTTTTGAACTATTTATCGATAATGGAGGACTCCAGTGGGAAAGCAGATGCCAAATCAGAAAGCTGATCTCTGACCCGTCCTTTTCCTCAACTTTGTGCAGACTGCAGTGTGACGTTAACAAGCCAGATCGCTATTTCATAATTCAAGAGATAAGGCTCTGGGTCGAACCTGCAGTGGTACTAAGAAGAAGGATCGGATATTTTGTAGGTAGCAGATAGATGAAACATGAACCATTTTTAATCTGTATTTTTTTTTTTAAACACAGCTCAAGACTACAAAGCATTCATTGAGAACCATAGCTCTGCTTTGTTTCCAACAAAAGAGAATACCAAGGCAGGCACGGTTAATCATTTGAAAAACTGATTCAAGGACTGTAGAGTGGCCAACAAAACCTGTATCCAGCAGTAGATACAAAAATGCATTGCCGTCTAGTTTTTGTGACAAGGATAACAGTGCAGTACAGTGAGATCATTCCAGGAGTGGTGCTGAGGCATGAATTATCCACGAATGAAAACAAATCCCGACCTAGTCTACCTCACACTGTGGAAGAAACCCAGTACCATAGGGATTGCAAAATTAATTATGTAAGGTTACCCAGGAACTTGTTGTTATGTGACGTTTTAAAAGCTCTTGAATAACTGTAGAGCCGTCATTTCTTTGAGGGATGACACCTATCTATGACACAGTATGGGGTACTACTTATTATCGGCTCAGACATCTGCCTCTGATGTCCTCTGCTCTTGCCTCTCCTGTCAGTGCCCCTGCCCTCTTCTTCTGTGCCCTCTCCCTTTTGTGTGGTACTGCTCCTCTACCATCCCAAGCTCGTCTCTAGTACCAGAGCTCTTTTGTTATTCTATGAACCTACTCTTAGGCACATATTGAATTATAATTCTCAACTAGTAACACTTTTAAAATCTGTTTGGCAACAGCAGTTGACTATGAATTATCTCTTGACGGGTGTATTGGTTTGGAAACTTACATCTTTCCAAGAGCAGCACTTAAATAATGTTCATCCATTCATGCAAAAAGCGACTGCAAATAAGGGTTTTCTTGGATTTTGTTTTATTTTCAGGGAGAAATGTCGTCCATAAAAAAGGAGATAATTTCTGGACTCCACTCTTCCGCTGCAGAGGGAGATATTGCCAAGTTGGCAGGCATACTCAGCCATTCTCCTTCTCTTCTCAACGCAGCCTCCGACAATGGCTGGACTGCCTTAATGTACGCTGCAAGGAACGGGCATGCTGATGCCGTCCAGCTTCTGCTTGAGAAAGGGTAAACATCTCAGGGTGTACAGTACTGCCAAAAAGGGTTTGTGCTTTCATGGCTGCTCTCGTGCCCCATCCCAGTTTCCTGTAGATGTCCTTATACTGATTGGCTAATAAATAGCTAATTGTTCGGTTTGTCATATGAAAAGCAGCCGAATTTCTCACTAAAGCCACTTTTATTTGTCCCCTCCCCACTTTGGTCAGCGTTAGGAATTGAACACAAGTCTTTGTACTTATCCGGCAAGCTCTCTAGCTCTGAGCTACACTTGAGAAAGCTTCCTTAATTGAGAAATTAACCCTTCATGCTTTGTCAAAAAAGAATGGCTATGAAAACCTTAATGCCTTTCTTCTAAGTAAAACGTGTGAGTCTCATCATGGCTACCTTGGAGTATTTAGAATGTTTGTGTTGCTTTGTGGCATGTATAGACACATTTTCTTTTTATTTAAATGTCTACTGTCATTAACCTGGCATTTCTTAAAACTGTTACATGATTCTTTTAACCTTCAGTAGTAAACTATGAACCAGATAGTGGAAAAGAAAAAAAATCATTAAATACTGTTGTATGCATTTTCCTAAAATACAAGCGTAAAGTTTTATTTCTCATTTTATTTTCCTTCCCATTTATTTTCTTCTGTCTAGATGTGACAGATCACTTGTCAATAAGTCAAGGCAAACCGCACTAGATATCGCTGTATTTTGGGGCTATAAGCATATAGCTAACATGTTAGCTAATGCCAAAGGTGGGAAGAAGCCATGGTTCCTCACCAATGAAGTGGACGAATGCGACAATTATTTTAGCAGAACGCTACTGGACCGGAAAAGTGAGAAAAGAAATAATTCTGACTGGCTACAAGCTAAAGAGAGCCACCCAGCCACGGTCTATATCCTCTTCTCAGACTTAAACCCCCTGGTTACTCTAAGTGGGAACAAAGAGAGTTCACAGCAGCCGGAAGTCAGGCTCTGCCATTTGAACTATGCAGATGTCAAGGAGTACTTGGCTAACCCTGAGAAGATCACCGTGGTGTTCCTTGGAGTCGAACTGGAGATGAGAAAAGGATTGCATGGTGATGCTGGAGGAGGAGGAGTCCCCTTGGACGATGAGGATGGTTTGTTTGCTTGGTTTGCTCTCAGCATAGAAGCTGCTGCCGCTGAGGAGTTTAAGCAAAGACATGAAAACTGTTATTTTCTTCACCCTCCAATGCCAGCTCTTTTGCAGTTGAAAGAAAAAGAAGCCGGTGAGGAGAGGAAGTGTGCGCCTGTGTCGGGAACAGTCTGGTTCTAAAGCGAGTGTGGAGTTGTGTGCTGGTGTGGCATCTGGGTGGCACATGCCAGTGAGCAGCAGGCATGAGAACTCCCTTGAGTTTGCCCGCTAGGACACTCTTGTAGTGCTGGCAAAAGTTTCAGCCAGCCAAGATCAGTTTTCTTAGAGTGGACCTCCGTGTGGGATGGTTTCGTTTAATTCTTCCTAATGTTTGAGTCCCTGTTATATTTTGAACAGACCTCAGCTGTTTTGTTTTCTGTTGTGCTTTTTATGATCATGAAGCAAAGGAAAGAAAGAAAGAAAAAGAAAAGCAGCTGGGGTGCCCCTGTATTGCTCCTGTAGGAACAGTGCCTCCCCTGCACACCCACATTGTGTGCGCCTGTGAATTTGTGTGTGTGGTTGTTTGTTTGTGTGTGTGTGTGTGTGTGTGTGTGTGTGTGTGTGTGTGTGTGTGTTAAGGAGCAAGGTTAATGATAGCTACTTCATAAAGCATGGGTTGTAGGTATATAGGTAGAGTGGATATGAGGAGCCATATTAAGAGTGGATTCGTCACTACAATGGCCTAGGAGACACAGCAGATTAGAATGGTGACAGGGAAGATAGATTTTCACTTGTCATATTGAAAATTAAATAGAAAAACGAAAATAGCTTTTTTTGAGTGACTATCATAAATTAGCTGTATAATCACATTTTTATTTGTGAGATTGTACAATAAAGTGTTTAAAAACAAAATGTAAAAATTAATAATACTGATACATCATAAAATAAATTCTAAAGCCATCTGTCAAGCAGCAACTCAGAAAACTATGTGCTTACTGTAGTTTCAAAGCATTATACTCAACATATTACTTAGTTTTTGCATGGAAATAAATCTTATACTTCTTTTTAAAAGGCGTTTTAGCTCAAGCAAGATCAGTCCTTGCATGGCACAGTCGATACAAGTTCTGCCCAACCTGTGGCAGCGCAACCAAAATTGAAGAAGGTGGCTATAAAAGAGTGTGTTTAAGAGAAAACTGTCCTAGTCTCCATGGTGTCCACAATACATCTTATCCAAGAGTTGGTAAGGCTTTTCTTTTTTTAAAGTGTGTGTGTGTGTGTGTGTGTGTGTGTGTGTGTACGTACATGCATATAGGTATGAACGTGTGTGCAAGTGTCCTATAGACCAGAAGAGAGAGAGACATTCCACTGAGCAGAAGTCACAGTTCATTGAGAGCTACCCTGTGTGGGTCAGGATAAAAATTCTAAGAGCAGCTCTTAACTGTTGAGCTGCTTTTGCAGCCCCAAGGCTTTGTTTTTTGTCTTTTTTTTTTTTTTTTGCGGGGGGAGGGTGTTTCTTCATTTGATAATGAGATCTCAGCTACCTGGAGTCTTGGGGCAGAAGATAGTCTGGAAACAAATTTTTATGAAACTAAAATGTTTACATTTTATTGAACATCTGTCATGATTACTCAGTAAAAGAGTGCGTTGTTCACAACTAGTCATGTCTTACCTTTAGTTTAATCAGTTAATGAATTTGTTGTGTTGGAATACTTCACGTATAGTCAGTGTGAGTCCTCTTGAGGCAGAGAAAATGAAGTCTCCAGTGCTTCAGTGCCTGTTGGGACATTACCCATTCTTGTGGTTATGCCTCTCCCCGTTGCTGCTGTTTCTGCTCTAGCTGGAGAAATCTCATAATCTTGCCCTTAAAATTGCTGGGGAAGGAGAGTAACTCGGCAAGCCCAGATGAAGTCTCCAGGAAGGAAGTGGGTGGCTTAATGACTGTCTGATTTCCTTGCTAAGGAATTTAGTTCCTGGCTCTCCTCAGGATCTAGTGAGGAGGGTTTTTAAGCTCATGATGGCTAGAGAGAGTGGCTGTTATCTAAGTGTTATTATTTTAATGATTCAAACCTAACTAAAAAGCCATGCTCACCTTTAAAAGGATTTTGCTGAGGACTGGAATAAAAGGGGGAAAGAAATTCACTGTAATTTGTTGTAGTAAAACTGGCATTTTTCAATGTCCATGATCCACTTGAACTTGTGCCAAGTATGGCCTACGTACAGAGAAAATGTTGCTAAGATTAGAAGGAAGGATGGCAAAATCACTCACTAAAAGTATTTTTGCAGTTTCTCAGATATTTGTCAAGCACATGAGAGCAGAAAAGAGGTGTCATATAAACAGAAATCTTGTTCCTATAAGAAATATCCCTGAATATTATTACTGCATAATGAATCTAATTGTATTTCCTGTTACTTGTGTGTCTCTTTGTTTTGTTTTGTTTTGTTTGGCTTGGTTTTGGTTTTTAAACAGATCCAGTCGTAATCATGCAGGTTATCCATCCAGATGGAACCAAATGTCTTTTAGGCAGGCAAAAGCGATTTCCCCCGGGCATGTTTACTTGCCTCGCTGGATTTATTGAACCTGGTAAGCCTTTTATGCATAATTTTTAGAATTCTGTAACAGATCACTCATGAGATATATCGTCTCCATTAAAAGGCATGCTATAAAATGAAAACATTTAAATTTTAATTTTTTCACTGCTTTTTTCTTTAGTGTTTGTACATGTGTGTGTATATATGAGGGTGTTCACTGTTAAGGACAGACAAGAACTTTGTCAGTTTTCTCCCTCATCCGTGTGTGATATGACTCCCAGACTTAAGTTATCCAAGTGCCTTTACCTGCTAAACCATCTGGCTAACCCCAAAATATTTTAAACATATTTTAATCGCGCAATTTAAGCATTGTTTCATTTTGAAATTTTGACAAGATAATCTGTTATGTTGAAAATTTAGTATTTGATTTGTCATACATTGCATTTTGACTAGAAATTCAGGTGGTTGCACCTCTCTTCAGTGCTACATGTAAGTGGCACCCTTTCTAAGGGTTATATGATTTTCCCAAATAGCCATTAGCCTCCATACCTGCCTTCACAATCCTAGGCATCCTACCTTACTATCCTTATGGTGGTCAACACCACCTTATAATACATATGTATAGATTATCAACTTTAATATCACTTCATTTTTGTAAGATGAAAGTTCTAAAGTTCTCCTACAACCATTTTTACACATCAGTCAAAGCCAATGCCTCTCATGTAATAGGATTTTATTAGGTATCCCAGAGCAAATGAATGGATATCTGGATTAGTAATGTTTAATCTCAACATACAATGTTAGTCTGCACTGTTGGGTAATTATAGTAGTAAATATATATTACCTGGCACTCAGCTGGAAACTTGCCTCTCTTAAATCTTGTGATCCTTTTGCAGCCTTATAAAGTGGGCCCTGTTACAGCGCTTTCACAAAGGAGGGAGCATCACACAAGGGCTATATAATTTGCCCCAAATTAAGGTGATAGAGAAGGGATTCAAACCCAGGGAGTTCCACTTCTGAGTCCTTGCTCCTAATCACCACGTTGCTCTGGGAAGGAGATGTGCACACAAAGTACCACCTCTAACAAAGAAGTTATTTGCTTTCAATACCTTCCATGAAAGGGAAAATCAGTTTTCTTCACTGGAGCATCACTGAGTGTGTCAACCACAATCCAGAGCAAGTCCCATTCCCAGTACGTGTTGGCCAATACTACATTGACTCCATGCGTTTTTGTTTTGTTTTGATATTTCTTCATCTGTTGATCTCCTTTTTCTACACCTTCGTCCTCTCTCTGTCTGTTTTGATTTTCATTGCTTTGCTCTTTGCTTTTTTGGGAGTGAGAACATGAAGTTGGATGGATGTGGAAAAGAGGAGGCTCTGGGGAGAACTGGGAGAACAGAAAGAATATAATCAAAACATGATATGTGAAAAAAATGAATAATTTTTTAAAGTGTAAGACATTTTTGAACTACTAAGTAGCATTTCACATTCATATCTGAATGTCCTCTGGTGTATATTCATCTGTTCTGCTGTGGATATTTAATTTATTTAAAGATTTTGACTATTGAAAATAGCATATGTGTGGTATTTTTGTTCTTCTCTTTATGTACCTTTGCAAGAGCTATTTCAGGTGTATACAGAGTAGAGTTGTCACTGCATATATTAGCATATTGTCCCTGATAGCTCACACCCCCACCAGTAGTGCATGAATGTTACATTAGTCCATATCCTTACCACCTTGGAATTTTTCACACTTTAGTACTTGAAAGAGTGTTTGTTCCATAGCCCAGAGGAGCTTGCAGATTATACTCTTGCCTACCTAGTATTGGAATTATAGGCAAGTGCCACCCAGCCCAGCACGGGGTTTCTAATTTTCAGATTTTATAGTTTGTGCTTCAACGTGGTAGGAAATAGTTTGTCATTGCTATGTGTGTTTCTATTGCTCCATTGATGGAGCATCATAGTCAAATGTGTTTCTCACATTCAGGATTCCTGCTCTTTCATTGTAGAGAATTGTGTCCTTTGTCTATTTTGTTCCAGTCTCTTAGCCTTAGTTAAAATTGATTTTAGGCATTTATTGTTATTATGGTCTGAAAGATCTCTTATATTAGTCTATGACTTGTTTCCCTTGTGTACTTTGTATAGTAAATACAAGAACTTAGATATAGAGAATGCATCAATCTATTTGAAATAAAAGTTGTATTTTAAAATGTTTCATTTAATATTGTTATAAATTTTAAATTTGTAAACATTCAAATTAATTTTACTCAAACTATTTTTACTATATAGAGTTCTAGCAAACCCAGAACATTTATTGACAAAGAAATCAATACTTATAAAGACTGAATTGTGATTTGAGTTTCAAAGTTTTAATGAACACTGCATGTCATAGTACACGCTTGTCTGCAGTCCCAACACTTGAGAAGTGGAGGCACCAGAATCAATGGATGGAGTCTAGCTTCAGCTGCATAGTGAGTTCCAAGCCAACATCAGCTACACAAGACCCTTTCTTAGAGTAAAACAAAAGATGATTTTATTTTATCAAGGCAATCTTTTTTATTTTATATACCAATATCAGTTCCCACTCCCTCCCTTCCTCCTGCTCTCCCCACCTTCCCCCCATCTCACTTCCTGTTCATTCTACAGAGAGGGTGAGGCCTGTCATGGGGAGTCAGCAAAGTCTGTCACATCAATTGAGGCAGCACCAATGTCCTCCTCCCTGTATCTAGGCTGAGCAAGGTATCTCTCCATAAGGAATGGACTCCAGAAGGCCAGTTCATGCACTAGGGATAAATACTGTTTCTTGGTCAGTGGTCCCTCAAACTGCCCAAGCCACACAACTGTCACCCACATTCAAAGGCCTAGATTTGATCCTATGCAGGTTCTCCAAGTGTCAGTCCAGAATCAATTAGCACCCACTGGCTCAGGTCAACTGTTTCTGTGGGTTTCCCTATTATGGTCTTGACACCTTTGCTCATATTGTTGCTCCCTCCTCTCTATGATTGGACTCCAAGAGCTCAGCCCAGTAATTGGTTAGCAGGCAACACTTATACAAAAGATGATTTTTAATGGAAGAGAAAACTAACCATTTATAAAACTTGGGAAATAATGACCTATAAATAGTGATGCATGAAATAATAAAAATTTTAATGACATTTAGTCAACATTATGTGATAGATAGTTGTAGATTTTCTGGTTTTTTTTTTTTTTTACAAAACTTTTAGGAAATGTAAGTTGATTGTTAGCATTTTGATATTCTATTTGTGGCTACAGACTTCCACGTGTAACGCTTTCTTCACTTCCAGTCGAGAGTTAGCATTCATTGAGTGGGGGCTCCTTCCTGAGTGATTTCAAAATGTTTGAACTATTTGGTGCTCACAGTGTCCAAGCCATGTTGACCAGCCACTTGTTCCTTTGCCTTATCTGATTAGGGGAGACAATAGAAGATGCTGTGCGGAGAGAAGTAGAGGAGGAAAGTGGAGTCAAAGTTGGCCATGTTCAGTATGTCTCTTGTCAGCCATGGCCAATGCCCTCCTCTTTAATGATTGGTTGCTTAGCTGTGGCAGTGTCCACAGAAATTAAAGTTGACAAGAATGAAATAGAGGATGCCCGTTGGTTCACTAGAGAACAGGTAAAGTTCAATTTAATTTCCGTATTCTATCGATTGTTCCCTGATAGTATTGGTATGGGCATGCAGCAAGGAAGCAAATTGCAACAAGTCAAATGATTGGCTGCAGCCCTCTCATTATGAATGGATTATAACGTAATTGATAATTCCATATAGAAAATGTGTCTTGCTGATGTGTCCTGTTTGACTTATTCTGTGAGATTCTCCTAGAATGAATGATTGTGTACCATTTCAAATTGCACATGTTCATACTGGCTGATGAATTAATAATAATCCCTTTTAGTCAATTTAAGTATTTATATTATTAGTTCGGACATATCAAATATTAATATTAGATATTTACATTAAAGCTATTTTATCAGATATTTGCAAAAAATGCAGTAAAAGAGCTTGAAGTTTTTGAAGTTCTTTTGTATTCTGAAAAATAATGCTGAAGCATATGGGTTGCCAAGAGTTTGAGTATAATATATAGTGATTCCCAGGCCATCCTGCACTACATAGTGAGACTCCATCTTTAAAGTGTGTATGTGTGTGTGTAAAGAAGTCGAAAAAATGGGAAAAAAAGAAACCCCAGGGCAAAAAAGACAAAAATGTCATTAAGTATATAAATCTGTTATAATATGTATTCTTAAGAACTTTTTATAATTATATCTCTAAGTAAAAGAGATTAAATAATTGGCTAGTTTGGTTTTTTTTGTTTTTGTTTTGTTATGTTTGTTTGTTTTACAATGCCCAAAATTTGTATAGAAAAAAGGATACAATGTAGTATTAAAGATGTAGAATCATTTATGCCTTTGCCTGTATAAAATTGATTTTTATTTTGTACTCATAAAAGAAATTAGATTGTTGTTTCAGAATTATTGAAAAAGTTAACCTTACTTTGAAGTTAAATGCAGAACCGGAGCAACTGAAACTGCTGTATTACCTGGCCCTCTAACGTGTTGTCTTCTGGTTTTGTTGTAGGTTATGGATGTTCTTACCAAAGGGAAGCAGCAAGCTTTCTTTGTACCACCAAGCCGGGCTATTGCTCACCAGTTAATCAAACACTGGGTTGGAATGAACCCCAGTCTCTAAATGAAAAATAATAGCATCTGTTGGAGTATTATTTCATTTCTAATACTATCTATTTTCAAATAAGCTTAGATGTATTTGTTGATCATTAAATTTTGTAAAATTTGGGGGGGGCTCAAAAATATTTTAAGTATTTTTTCCATTATTAATTATGAAATCCATAGTTTTGTAAATTAGAATGATGCCTCAGATTTTCTTAAATTTAGAGCAAGCCTGTGAACAATTTTGTTGTGGGTCACAATTTTATCTCATAAAACTGCATTCCTATGAAGAAAGGTCATGTTGGGATGAAGTGTGCTCCAGGAACAGGATGAACATGAAGCTACAGCTTGCAAAGATGAGATTCTGTGTTGGAGAAATGCGTCAACATAGCTTTAATGGGGATGGAGCTCCAGGGTGTTTTTAGTCATCTCATTCCTGTTCCCCTGGCCTCGTGGACTAGTGGTAGGACTGTTAAAGTTACTTCTTGTTTAGTCTGACTAGTGTTCAGAATGGTTTATTCTAACAATTTACCCTTACTGACCTCAGAATACAATAGTCATGTGTGGGGAACTAACATTACTGTTTCTAGGACCTCACTCTTAAATCAAAAGCTAACTACTACATCTGTCTGGTTTAATTCTACTTAAAATTGTGACTAAGTTAAGTGAAGATTCTATAATTTTCCACTGGACTTTAACATTTTAGAAAGGAATCCCTGAAGTTCGGGAACTAAATTTCAAGTATATTTACATACTAAATAAATCACTGGTTGTATTTAATTTTCTGAAGAGGGATGTATTATATATATTCCCATCAGTATTCATTACACTGAAATACGATATCTTAGTTTTGACCTTATTTCGTCACATTCTAAGCACCCTTAATTAGTATATTTTAGAATCAAATTGCTAAAATCTTTGGGAAGTAATTGTAGTATGTCACAGTTTTACAGTATAGCCACATATATTTTACTTGGTTGTTCTGCAGTTGTTTATATAAATGTACACATTTTCCATCTTTGCTCTTCTGTTCGAACTTGAAGAGACCTTAGACACAGTAAATGTTGAACATAATGAATGTAACAGTTTGTAGTCTGCACGTAAGAACTAGATTTTTTCTGTAGTGGGAAACAGAAATTATTACCAAAAACATCTATAGAATAGGGGCTAGGAAATGGCTCCATCACTAAGGCGCTTGCTGTGCAGGCATGAAGACTTAAGTTCAGATCCTCTGCACCCTTTAAGGATTGGATTTAGAGACATGAATATCTAATCCCAGATTTAAAGAGGCAGAGACACGTGTACTCTGGGGGCTTGTCCAGTCAGTCTAATGAATCAGTAAACTCAATGAGAGTCCTTGTCTCCAAACACAAGGTGGAAGACTGGAGATGGCTCAGTGATGAAGAACACTTTCCATTCTTGGGGAGGACCAGAGTTTTGTTCTCAAGATCTTCCTCAGGCAACTCAATCCACCTGCAACTACAGCTCCGAGGCATCCAGCACCATCTCCTGACCTCCTCAGGCATCTGCAGGCATGTTTACATGAGACACAGACGCATGCATAGAATGACTGAGGAGGATCCTGACTTCCACCTCTGGCCTACACACACACACACACACACACACACACACACACACACACACGTTGAATAGGTTAAAAGGAGTGCTAATAGGAAGAATTAGTTTATCAAATATCATTCATATTTTTAACTGAAATATAACTTTCTCAGAGAATCTATTGAACAAATGAATATTCTTGTCTAGTTAATGACATCTTATTAGAATCAGAACCTTAGATCAAACCAAAACCTACACAGGACATTTATGTACTTGGCAAGTTGGAGCTATATAGCTATACTGAACTAATATTCTTTGATTATTATGAAATATGATCTATTGAAGTTCATTTTTGTTTCAAATGTGCTTTTAAATACTTGTAGACTCTAGTGTCCTTAATGTTAAAAAGCAGAGTAAAATACAGATGTCAAAATGTATAGATTTAGTTTTAGGTTCCTTCTATACTTGCAGAAAATCAATGAGTAAATTACTGTTTGGTTTGGTTTGGTTTTGGTTTTTTGACACAGGGTTTCACTGTCTAATAGCCCTGGCTAGTCTGGAACTAGCTCTTGTAGCCTGGCCTTGAACTCACAGAGATTTGCCTGTCTTGGCCTTCCACATACTGGGATTAAAGGTGGTGTGCCACCACCACCCAGCTTGAGTAAATTATTGCTTTTTTTTTAATAATCATTCCTTAGCTGTGACCTTTGAGAGGTGAGGATAGATATTCATAGTAATGATTGCTATTTTCACCAGTTCTAGAGGGGCAAGTACCACACAGATATTCAGAAATCATTGTAACAATGCAATAAAATATATTCTGTTTGCGGATTGTGTACATTTTTAATGTCCTGATGAGTTTCTTTAACAGAAATTTTACCATTTTCATGTACATGGAAGATTATTTTCTCCTTTTTTTTTTGAGCTGTAGTCTCATTGTATCCCAAGAAATATTCGAAATTGCAATTTTCATGCCTTAGCCTGTAGAATTCTTGAATTATAGGTGTGTCCAACCTTACCTGATGAGAAAATTAAAATTTTGATTTGGTGCAGGGGTGTTTCCTAATGGTAATATATGTATGTAATGTCTCCAAGGCTCTGGGTTTGAACTTAAGCATTTTAAAAAAAGAAATCAATTTGGATCTTAAGTTTTGTAGTTTGTGGTAAAATGTACCAACGCGTGGGACTGTGTGGACTAATGTCATCGATAATTAAAGTCTTAAGGTTTGAAGTTATTTGTGTAGCAGGGTCTGCTTTAATTACTTGTCTACTGTGGTCAATATTTGCATTTTTTTATTTTTTTACGTTTTCACTTCTTCATAGTTTGTGATGCATAGAAACCCCATGGCCTGACCTGGCAAAGCAAGCCTATAATTTCTGAAAATCAGGCCTGAGGCTGGAGGATTCACATTCAAGAGCTATCTGAACTAGAGTGACTTTGAAACCACGCTGGGACACTTAGTGAAACCCTGTCTCCAAATAAGAAACCAAAGTGGCGACATAAGCACTCAGCGGTCGAAGCCTCACGGAGCATGCGCTTCAACCCCCAGCAACATCAACACAGAGTAGGAACTCGCACTGCTGTGAAAACCAGTCAGTCTGTTAAGGATAAGCTGTGAGCAGAGAGAAAAGAGAGTGGAACAGATGAGACCATGAGGGAAAAGGAAGACATAAGCTTGATGCCATAGGGGCATATGAGAGCTGGGCTGTTTAGAGGAGGCAGAGCTTCTACGTAATGGTAGCAAATGACTGTGTTTTCCAAAAGTTGTTAAATGCCGGGCGGTGGTAGTGCATGCCTTTAATCCCAGCACTCGGGAGGCAGAGGCAGGCGGATCTACAAGAGTTAGTTCCAAGACAGGTCCCAAAGCTACTAAGAAACCCTGCCTGGAAAAACAAAAAAAAGACAAAGTTGTTGAACAGGAAAGAACTGCAGAAAAGCAATTGTGGCGACAAATACCAAAAGCAATCTTCCCTCTTCTGTACCGCTCTGTGTTCTTCCTTCCGCGAATATTAAGGTAGAAATAAAATGGCTTCCAAAATATAAACATTGATTTGTTGATTTTTAATTTTAAAGTCTTTTAATGGTTTCATATGGGTGTGTGTAGCTAATGAATTTTAACCATTTTGTATCCCCATTTTTCTCTTTCACCACCTCCATCTTGCAACAAATCCTCCTCTTTTCATGTTCTATTTTGTGTATGGCCCGTGAGTTTAGAGTTACTCTTATGATCTTGAGGAGGAAGTTATTTACTGGTGCATGGGTACCATATCAGCCACTACACCACTGAAGAAAATGCTCCCACCCGCCAACCGCCACCCCCAGCTAACATTAACTGCCAGTAGGTTCTCCCAGGAGAGGTAAGGCCTCCTGGCCCACTCGCATCTATGCTGAAATGATGGCTAAATTTTGTACAGACTTTGGTCAAATATAGCAGGCTTTCTAGTGATTCTTTGTTGTTATTTAAATACAGATGGTCAAAGGCATGGGAAAAATATGTGATCAGCACCCTGAATTCTTGTTTGGAACGCATTTCTTTTCATCTGTAGAATATGCATCTGGACATGTTAACTGGACCAGCATGTAGTTTGCTCATTCTATGCATGCACAGAACTTAAGGAACATACTATTCATGGGTGTAGAACTAGCATTGTGAACTTTTTTTTTCTGTTCCTTCCAGACTCTATTTCATGTTTCATTGCTCAGTGAATCCAAGGCACAATCAATGGGCATTTTTCCTTTTCACAAGTCCCATGATAGTAATGTGCTCCAGAATATTGGGGGGTGGCTATGAAACTTTATTATAAAATTTAAGTTAAAAAATAAACCTATGTGCTAAGGATTTTTTTTTTTTCTTTAAACTAGAAGTCTGATAGAAAAACTGTAGCTGACGGAATGGAAAACTATCCTGGCTCTTCCTGGTAGCTCAAGGGAACTATACTTATCCAACTTACTGTCTCAGTCCTGATGGATTAACTTTCTTCTAACCACTTAGCCCGTGAAGTGGCTTCAATTTCAGGATGACTTTCCACCCAGGACTAGAAATTGAAAATAGCGCTCTTACCTGTATTAGAGAAGAAAATGGGCCGCTGATGGAAGGCGGTTTTTGTTGTTGTTTTTAACCTGCCTATTCCACTCTATCCTGAATTTGCCGTCTATTGGAGCATTGTGGTGTCCTACAGACTCAGTAGAGAGCCTTATAAATATTTATTCACTCAGGTGACAGGAGATGTCCTCCCTGTCAATGGAGACAATGGTGAATTTAATGCAATTGACCCAGCAGCTTTACTGCAGTTTTTAGTTATGCTTCCTTGTCTTTGTAGAACAGGTTTAAAGATTCTAGTTGGTGCCAGTTCTTTTGTTTGTTTGGCTTTTGGTTTTGGTGGTTTTATTTTGAAAAACTGTGAACATCATGTTTAAAAAGATGCCCCCAAAGACATGTGTAAGTTGAAACCCCAGGGGCTTGGTTGGTCCTGACCACTGCCATCTCCTCTACATCATGAGTAAGGACACCACTGAAAGTGTCACCATCCTTGTGAAGCCAGTAAAAATCCCATGTGCTGTGCAGAGTTGAGAAGATAAATGTCTGGAGACCTCAATGTTGCCGTTGCTATAGTATAAGGTCACTTCCAAAGAGACCTTTCATTTGTTTTGTACATATTTCTATCTTTGCCTTACTATTCTCTCAAGTTCATCTATCATTAATATTTTGATATAGATAAATTGGACTTTTTCTTCACATTCTTCTGGGCTTTATAGGTTATTTTACCTTCCTTTCCATGTAGTTCTAAGTGTTAAAGTAAGGGTCTTACATCACTCGCTTTTCTCATTTCTATGACCAAAATACCTGGTTAGAAACAACTTAAGAGAGGAATCCTTTATTTTGTCTTATAACTCAAGACATAGGGGCTGACTGGGTGGCTGGGTGGCTGGCCCCTGGCATCCTCCTCTCCTCTGGTCCTTGCTCCTCCCTTGAAGTATTCAGTGAGGCCAAAGGATAAGATTAATTCTGTTGAAATAGGAGCGGCAGGGCTGCGTCCCCGGCACCCAGCCGCCCGCATGGCTAGTTTATACCCAGAAATAATTACACGGAAACTGTATTCTTTCAAACACTGCCTGGTCCGGCTAGGTCCAGTTTCTTATTGGCTAGCTCTTACATATTGTTCTAACCCATTTCTAATATTCTGTGTAGCCCATGAGCTGGCTTACCAGAGAGGATCTTAACCTGCGTCTGTCTGGAGTGGGAGCATCATGGCGACTCCTTCCTACTCAGCTTCTTTTTCCCAGCATTCTCTTCTGTCTACTCCGCCTACCTAATTTTCTGTCCTATGAGGGCCGAGGCAGTTTCTTTATTATTACAAGACCCACCTCCATCATAATTCCCCAGAGGACATCCTTGTTAGATAAAAAAAAAAATGGGTTTGGACTAAAAGTGTATGCAGTGAGACAATTGTGGAAGCCGATGTAGAAACCAGACGAAAGGTGGGGGAAAGATGGCAGCAGTGAAGGAAGAAATGGGAGGAAAGGGGGAGAAAGGTAGAGGGAAGAGAGGGAGGAGGGAAAGGAAAAGTGGAGGAGGGGAGAAGGATGAAAAAAGTATGTCTGAGTAGGAGAGATACTGAGATTCAAGCATTGAGGATGACAACAAGGTGCAGTGTTGTGAAGGATTTAAGGAAGGAAGTTAAAGATCATGATGCCTAAGTTCCCATGTTGGAAATGACCGCTGACAAAGGGACTGGGAGAGGCTCAGTGGTTAAGAGTGTATCTTTTAAAGTGAGCATCCAAACTGCCTGAGTTCCCACAAAGCCAGTACCTGCAGTAGGATCAAAACCCAGTGCCATTGTTCTTGACTTCTCAGCAGTCCTCATTGTCTGCTATGTTCAGTGAGTCCGGTTTTATCCCATGCTTATTCAGGCCCAGTCCATCTGGCCGTAGTGAGCTCCCGATAGATCATCCCCACTGTCTCAGTGTGTGGGTGCACCCCTCGCGGTCCTGAGTTCCTTGCTCGTGCTCTCTCTCCTGCTCCTGATTTGGATCTTGGGATTTCTGTCCGGTGCTCCAATGTGGGTCTCTGTCTCTGTCTCCTTTCATTGCCTGATGAAGGTTAATATCCGGGAGGATGACGATATGTTTTTCTTTGGGTTCACCCTCTTTGTGGGAGCCTAGGCAGTTTGGATGCTCACCTTACTAGATTGAAGGAGGTGGGAGGTCCTTGGACTTCTCACAGGGCAGGGAACCCTCACTGCTCTTTGGGCTGATGAGGGAGGGGGACTTAATTGGGGGAGGAGGAGGGAAATGGGAGGCGGTGGCGGGGTGGAGGCAGATATCTTTAATAAATAAATTTTTAAAAAAAGAAAAAAAACTGGGACTAAACAAACAAAATAGGTTTTAAACTGAGTTGGACAATTTAGATTGAATTCAATACCTGCTGACAATAAATAAGGTTATTAAAAAAAAAAGAGTGTATCTTTTAAAGGATCCAAGCTCATTTCTCAACACCCACATCAAGGACCGCACCAGTCTGTATCTCCAGCTCAGGGGATTCAGTCCCCTCCTCTGGCCTCTTGTAGACAACTGTATCCACATACTCATCCAACACCCATATGCACATATTCATAATAAAAATAAAATAGAATGCTTTAAATGTTTTAAAAATTTTTCTAAAGGAAACTTTTTTTGGGAAAAGAAAACAACCTATTGTTTAGCATAACTTAGCTCCCCAATTTCAACTCACCACTTCTTTTTGAAACTTCTGTACCGTATTTTAAGACCTTGAAAAGAATGACAGAAATTGTTAATTTTTATGCATTAATAACATTCATTAAAGATGATCGTAGGGAACCTGTATGGTATTGCATGCTGTAATCCTAGCCTTTGAGTGGCTGGGACTCCTTAAAATGTCTTGAGTTTAAGCCTGGGCTACACAATGACACTTTGTCTCATTGTCTCAATTTTTTTCCAGAAAGATAAAACTATCCCTAATAATTATTTCCAAAATCATATGCTACTATTCTTAGAGAACTGGAGTATCACCTTGGTGCTTGGATGAGAAATCTAAGGTTAAGTTCATTTGCTCTCAATGGTGGCTTACTAAAGAATGAACTCAGTACAGAGGACAGGTTAAGGTGGCTTTTAATACAGTCTCAATAGGGACATTCTGCAGGGAAGGTCAGATGAGCACAGCAAAGAGGACATAGAACTGTGAGTCTCAGACCCTTGCACAGGCTATTACAAGTGTGGGAATTAGCTCTGTACTTGCCAGGACAACAGGAACCTTAGACACTAAACTACATTCCACTCCCAACCAACAGAGAAATAATTAACCATATTCTGTTTCTGTGGTTTAAGTTTGCCTTCAGCTAAAAGCTGTGGTGTGCAGCACCAAACTCAGGATGGGTGTTTGACAGGACTGGTTAACCACAACTATTACCTGGGTCCACCATTTAGCTTTCCTTAGTTTTGGACCATGAAGAGACAACTCACTTGTCTATTGTCACCAGTTTCACCTTCAGTTTTTTGTTCTTTTCTATTTTTTTAAATTCTTTTAATTGATTTTTATTGATCTTTACAGTTTTCTCTGCTCCCCTCCCTGCCTCTCACCTCCCCTCTTCAACCCTCTCCCAAGGTCCCCATGCTCACTCAAGAGATCTTGTCTTTTTCTACTTCCCATGTAGATTAGACCCATGTATGTTAGGGACCTCATTTGTTGTCTAGGTTCTCTGGGATTGTGATTTGTGGGCCTTCAGTTTTGTGGATAGTCTAGGACCCTAGGCTTCTCTTCTCTTCTGGTTCTTTTTTTTTTTTTTATTTTAGCATGACAAGCAGTTTGAGGGTTGCTGAAGTGCTGGTGTTTGAAAGAAGTTTTTTGGTTTGGTTTGGTTTGGTTTGGTTTGGTTTGGTTGGTTGGCTTTGTTTTTTGTTTGTTTGTTTGTTTGTTTATTTGC